CCTCCCGAGTTATTCGACCCACAGAACTAATTGAGGCTGGATGCTGCAAACACTAGAGCTCCACACGGGTGCACGGCAAGGATGAGCTGATGAAGAAACCCACTTTGGAACTTTAAGTCTTCAGTACATCTGTTCCAGAAAGTTCCTGGGCTGCACTTTGTTACAGGCTGAGGGGATACTTACAGAGTGGGACTAGGTAATGAAGAATCACATATGCTTGCCTCTTTCACAAGCATCTGCTTAGGGTACTGTCAAAGATTCCTGAAAGATCATTGACTTCAACTGCTTTTATACAATCCTTGTAGCAATACCATGATGGAAAACATTACATGTTAGTGCTGTCGCTTACCCAGTCTGTAAATGCGTGGCCGCTTCCCTCACTGACATCATAAGCGAGTGCCACAAGAAAACAGGGAAATGCAATAATCCTAATTAATAACTGAAGGCTTCTAGTCTCCGAGAGACACAAAATACAGATTAAAATCCAGATTCTGCAACAGGTCCATGCAGATGGACTCTCAGACCTTAAATGGATATCATAAAGTCCCAGAGGGCCAGGCGTGTACTGTACCTTAAACAGCAGGGGTCTACATCATTCAAGCCGTTCAAGTCTTCTGATAAGGTTTTACTATTATACTTAAGTTGCAAGAAAAGAAGCTGTTTCATCTTTTTTGCAACCACAACAAAAAAGTTACTGGTAAGAATGCCCTCGACAACTGTCATGCCTCAACAGTGTTTCATCATTATTGTCATTTCTTTTACCATATCACTGTTTATACTGCTTCCTGAACCTGCTGCTCACCTCCTGTCTGGCACAGGCATTTTTTCTCTTATGCAGCAGCTGCTTTCAAGCCTGCATTTATCAACAACGATGATGCTCAGGAACCAGTGCGAGGAGCAAACCTGGCAGACGGGGATTGCTGAAGGAGGGTGTGTACGCCTGCTCGACTCCCTGCTCTTCCAAACCAGATTAGTTCCTCCAATAAAAGTCACTTATTTTCACTTACAAATCTCATCTCGCTCTTAACTTCTAAGCATTCATAATCTTATTCTCCTCATTCATAAGCCCTTCAGGCCATGGACTTTTTCTTCCTACCTGTTTTATAACTTGCTGCGTAGATAACGAGCACCAGTCAGCTGCAAGAGACGTTTCACAGGAACAAGTACTGACATACGGAAAAAACACTACAAGTAGCATCACCGCGGTTATTTTCTGGAAAAGGAGAGGCTGCTTAAGACTTGGGTCTTGAAGTCTCCTCCCAATCCAAGGAAAAACAAGCCAAGGGAGCAGGCACGAAGCACTGCTCGCCGCATGGGATGTGCTGCTCCATCCCTACCCCTACGCCTAGGAATCACCAGCGTTATTTAGCGGAACACCATCCCACCAGCCCGACGCCTGCCCGGCCGCACGTAAGGGCCAGGGGCCACCTCCCTGCCCGGCGAGGCGCCGCGGCAGCCC